TCCCCAAAAATAAATCATGCGAAAAAGCCAAAAACAGAAAAAAAGAAATTAAAGAAATAAATACATAATTAAAAAAATAAAAATAAAAAAAATAAAAAAATAAATAAATAAATAAATAAATAAATAAATAAATAAATAAATAAATAAATAAATAAATAAATAAATAAATAAATAAATAAATAAATAAATAAATAAATAAATAAATAAATAAATAAATAAATAAATAAATAAATCCAAAACAACTGCATTAGACAAAACCAAAGCTGTGTCTTTCTTTCACGTCGTATCTATAGTAGGTGTGATATATAACCATGAGTATGTACTGAAGCATATAAATGGATGTAAATCGACATGAGATATGATGTATATTTCAGTCAGTACGCTTTACTCCTAATATAACGGAGTAAGTTGTGTTGAGTTGCGAAGTTTAGGAACCACAATCCAATACAAGCATAATTGTATTTTATGTCATTTTTAACAAGAATGATAGACAGAAATAAATACCTTTGGCTGTCTAAGATTTGGAATATATGAGTCACAGAATGACTGACTGACTGAATTTAGTTTTACGCCGCTTTTAGCAAAATACCAGCAATATCACGACGGGGTACACCAGAGTCACAGCATGAGCTCAAATATAAACGTATTGAACTGAACGGTACATATAAAGATAACATTAGGAATTTTAAAGTATGTTTTAACGCTCAGTTTAAACAAAATTTCAACAATTGCACGGTGGGGTACACAAGCGTTACACATCCCATGTGTGGAATCGAACTCTGGCCTTAGGTCTGACGGGTGAACCTTGCACCATCCGTCTATCTTGTACATTTATATATTCTGGTTTGTTCAAAATCTGGGATTCGTACTAACAACCACCAAACTATATCTTCCGTTTACATTAAACTGCCGCCGACGATAAACATGAAATATTGTTCCAAACAGAGTTCAAATCAATTTTCCACAGCTGCTTTGACGTTTACAGTTACAAACATCTTTTTTATAACTGTATGATTAGGTATAAAATACACATGAACGAAATTATATCAACCTACATGATATAAACGAAATAATCTCTGAAAATATTTATGCATTGGATTTCTATAAAAATACCGAACGCCAATCTAATTTCCGAGCATACATCTAACAAGGGTTGTGTAAATCGATAATAAATACTCTCAATAGTTATTGACCATAAACGTTAGGTAAACATATATCTCAGATTATGAGAAATGATGCTTCAAAAATAGGAGCCTATTGAAATATAATCCGGTTAAAGATTCAATTTCCTGTTAATCACGTTTCTGAAACTGTTGATATAAAACGCTGATCGGCTACGTTTTATAAGAAAATGTCCGCACATTGATTACAAACTTAATGTAGCTTGAAATAAACTTGATATTTCTCGTCTAGTTTGTCTGAGGTGTCTGGAGCTACACAGTACATGCGTGTACGCATGATCAGAGTTGAATAAGCATAGGTTGAAAACTCGGGACCCAGTTTGACTCTCAGTCTGAGCCTAAGTTGAATGAAGTCTGGAGTAATTTGAATCTTGGGTCATAACCCAAAACTGAGATATTAAGGGAGTTGATTTAAGCCCACAAATGCGGTCGTGTTGGGGTTTTGAGGTTCTGACTTTTTGACATGGGATGCAGCTTAGGGTACGTAGACTATCCAGATAGGTCCTGGCTGTAAACTGACAGATAAAAGAAAATATACACCCACTTTTAATGGCGGCTAAAATACAACAATCATTAAAAATGGTTAATCGATGTTCATATATTTTATACAGTTGGTGAATGTTATATGCATTGTGTGACCATACTTAATATGATGTGACTGTTACTTGCCGTGTGCACACTGAATGGTTAGTGAAGGCTGCACGGACTGTGCGTGCACACTGAATGGTTGGTGAAGGCTGCACGGACTGTGCGTGCACACTGAATGGTTGGTGAAGGCTGCACGGACTGTGCGTGCACACTGAATGGTTGGTGAAGGCTGCACGGACTGTGCGTGCACACTGAATGGTTGGTGAAGGCTGCACGGACTGTGCGCAACACTGAATGGTTAGTGAAGGCTGCACGGACTGTGCGTGCGTGCACACTGAATGGTTGGTGAAGGCTGCACGGACTGTGCGTGCACACTGAATGGTTAGTGAAGGCTGCACGGACTGTGCGTGCACACTGAATGGTTGGTGAAGGCTGCACCGACTGTTCGTGCACACTGAATGGTTGGTGAAGGCTGCACGGACTGTGCGTGCACACTGAATGGTTGGTGAAGGCTGCACGGACTGTGCGTGCACACTGAATGGTTAGTGAAGGCTGCACGGACTGTGCGTGCACACTGAACGTCATGTGAAGGTAGCACGGATTGAACGTGCACACTGGAAGTCATGTGAAGGTAGTAGGATTGAACGTGCACACTGATCGTCATGTGAAGGTAGCACGGATTGAACGTGCACACCGAACGTCATGTGAAGGTAGCACGGATTGAACGTGCACACTGATCGTCATGTGAAGGTAGCACGGATTGAACGTGCACACTGAACGTCATGTGAAGGTAGCACGGATTGAACGTGCATATTGAATGTTTGCTGAATCAATAGAGGTCACTAGGGTGCTCGGTAGCAAGGCGCTACATTGATTATGTGTACAATTCATTAAGATTAATTTCTAGCACTTTTGTGGGCATTAAGATTTGATCAAGATATATCTCTGTGTCCCAGTTCTATGATCTAGTGAGACGATCTCTGGTAACCTTCAGACCAATGAGGAGAACGTTATCACTTCCACGTAACCGGGGACGTCAGCGGGTCTATAAGGAAGCCTGATTTATTTTGTAATGCAGTGAAATAGAAGGACAAAACCATTTCTGTAATCACAAAAACCTACTAAAACCAGAGTGTGTGGTATGATTCCAAATATATCATTAAGATGTTTTACTAATCACTATCACAATTGTTTGGTTTTTAATCAAAGTGTTTATATAGAGTTCTTTTTCATAAAATACCAAAGCTTTAGATGCATTCAAAGATCCATCGTTGTTGCAAGGTATGTATGTATGTATGTATGTATGTATGTATGTATGTATGTATGTATGTATGTATGTATGTATGTATGTATGTATGTATGTATGTATGTATGTATGTAAGTGTGTGTGTGTGTGTATGTAATGTATGTATGTGTGTATGTATGTATGTATGTATGTATGTATGTATGTATGTATGTATGTATGTATGTATGTATGTATGTATGTATGTATGTATGTATATGTATGTATGTATGTATGTATGTATGTATGTATGTATGTATGTATGTATGTATGTATGTTCACATGGACACACAAACACACATGTATAATTATATATATTAATATGTGTTTGTATATATTCATACCGTATATGCCCGTATATACGCCGATCTCACAGATAAGCCGAGGTCCTAACTTGACCCCTAAATTCTGTATGAAAATGTTATGTTCCGTACATAAGCCGAGCCACCAATATATATGTGTGTTAATGTTATATACATAACGTCAATACAAGATACACATCCGGCCAAACAGATTCAATTACACGTAAAGGGCAAATTCCTGGTGAAAATTACGATGTCCAAGTTCCCACAAAGCAATAGTAGTTCCTCAAAGATGAGCCACCTCTGTACTATGTACTCTCCTATATCAGAGAGGTAAACCTAGTACAGACAAATCCCCGTGCTATCTGTAATGCTGCATAACATTACGGACACACAATGGGTACCTCGAAGCCCTTGATTGTGAATAGAGGGGATCAGTCAACTCCCACCAGCACAAAGCTATACATACAAATATAAGGTTATTCTTGAAATGGTCGTGTGATCTGTTCATCTACGGCGACATATATATGCATTTCCACATGAATAGTTTTGAGACGTAACACGTTGATATTTTATCACTAAAGAAAGCAATTACAAATCACATCCTCCGTATTTGAAGTTACCACAATGGTTGTTAAAAGTCAAATATCTCTGAAAACATGTCAAACAGATCCTAAAATAACATTTAAACAAGCAAATCCCTAATAAATCCACAAGTCTATATTACTTTAAGTTCAGGAATGAAGAAACATTCTCGACTCCATAATTACACTTAATTGCAATTCAAAGATCTTAAAAAGCCATTTCACAAAATATTTGTTTTTGTAGATCGATGCACGTCTTCAGAATCATTATGTTCCCCTAAGGGACAATCTTTACTTGCTTTCTTATATTCTATTGCTGGACGTGAATGAATGAACGGAGGTTATAAACACGTGTGGTTTTCTGTTTACAGCATTGATCGGGTTGTTTTGTATAGGGCATGGTGTCAGAAGGCCATTAGGACATTGGTTCCTGATGAAAGACCCTAAAGAAACAGTAACATTAAGACCTTTCGCAGTCGCTTTGAATTCATCAGTTAGTGTCCGTGGTTTTGTTGTTTTGTTGGTCAATATTGAGATAGAACTTTTGAACTGGTTGATTTGAGACAGAAGACGTGGGTATCTAGTGGTTAGATAGTTAGCTAAAGTTTGATCGAGTTCGAGATCTAACTTACTCATCCTGACCGGGTTCGAATCCCCACATGGGTACAATGTGTGAAACCCATTTCTGGTGTCCCCCGCCGTGATGTTGCTGGAATATTGCTAAAAGCGGCGTAAAACCATACTCAGTCAGTACTCATCCTGAGATATTATCATGTCATAGCCGAATGTGCTATAAAAATAATGAACGGTGTTATCTCTTATAGGGTTGGGGTAGCCGAGTAGTAAAGGTGTTTACTTGTCACACCAAGGCCCGGGTTCGATTCCTCACAGGCTAATGTGTATTGGCAATACCCTATGTTCTCCTACCGCGGCAGTGGAATATATTGCTACAAGCGGCGTAAAACATTGACCACTCTCACACCGTGCTATCTCGGGGAATATTCATAATTCGCTAAAAGCTGAGTAAAACATTTACTACTCTTGTCGAAGATGGAAAGCTTACCTTGTGTGTGTTCCGCTACAACTGTCCGTGTTGTGTCCAGTGAGTGGTCAGTCCAGTAATTCCGTGCTCACAGAAGCTCACAGATGAATGACTCTCAAGAGACTTAAAGCTAACACATATTCCCACTGTGACAGATTCACTGTATTTGAAAAACGTCAATGTCACTGACACCAAGGCTAGTTAATAAAACCGGAAAAATATCTACAGTGTGTAATCAAGTTTTATAAGTCAACACACATTTCTAAAATAAAACACGATAAGTATTTCTCTGTCCATGAACAGATTCAAGTTTCGTAGTCGCCAGAGCCAAATCCAAGGCGAATCCTATGTAACTCGCTCATTAACGCAGCTCAAAATTCTGCTGAAACCGTTCGGGACCTCTTTGTAGATGTCAATTGACAGTCCCGGGGGAGCGTCAAACAAAACAGTATAATCTCCCAATTACGGCCCTGTTAATCCTCTGTAGTGCTTGCAGTGACTATCGAGCGACGCAGTCCATACCGTACTGGCTGGCTAGACCACCGCTCCGTGTATACGCTGTTACAATCGGAACCACACTGGCTTATGTATACGGCGATAGGCTCGGCGAGGCGGGCCGACTTCGGATCGCTTACAACATAGTCTTGTTGCTCTTCACACCGACTCCACGCCTTGTGCACAGATGTGGGACACGTACAGTCTCCTGCTAGTCTGTCGGGGGTAGGTTGTATACTAGTATGTACCTTGGTAAAGGTGTCAACTGTGTCAGTACAATACTTTCCGTTAGTTGATGAAAACTTTGCCATTAAAACAAATCTTAATTAAATATATATTAATATTAACTATTTTACTTTTAATATTTTATGTCACAGGTTTGTGATATATCCTGAAAATAGAAAATTATCATGAAAACATTCTTGTGTTTGGGGAATACGAATTATGTCGGACGTTAAAGTGCACGTTAAATCTCATCATCATCATCATCATCATCATCATCATCATCATCGTGTTTTGGGGTGGTAAATATTCTGTATTAGGAATACAATTTTCATTATCGAGCTTTGCGCTCTAAATACATGGTGTTTATTCTTAACACACATACGCAGTCAGAATTCCAACGACAAAATATTACATATTTCGGAAAATACAAACTTTAAATTCGAAAAAAACCCCTCCAAAACACAGATTCTCACAAAAACGGACATGGAAACTGATCCGGCTAGTGATCGCAGTTTGTGGCTTTAGTGCCTTCTCTCGCAATTACCATTGCTACGCCTGTTTGACAATACTTTTCGGTATTTGACTATTATGTTGATTAAGATACCAGTTAGCGCTGTGATTTATCAAGATGCCAATTATGCTTCGATCACCGACCGACGATCACGGTGGCGCCATGTTTGTTTGTAAACACTGTAAGTAGAAGCTGCAAGGAGACAATCACACAAAGATTGCTGAACGTACCCTGTCGGCTGTCACACAAAGACTATTACAATAATAAACTGAAGAAACCATATTTCTCAGTTGATTTTATCATAATGTTTGATTTTCAGCTGAAAATTACTTTAGTTAGCAATATTATAAACTAGCATCTAGTCTCTGAAATGAACATATTTTAGAGAAAAAGTATAAATCATAGAATTATAGAATTATATGAAAAAGATCCCAGAGACTTTCTTCATTTTCAGAACCTGAAACTGTGGTAATATATTTTATTCTCGACGTGTTGTATGGGTACATTTGTTTCAGGGCCTGTATGACAGAGTGAGTGAGTATAGTTTTACGCCGATTTTAGCAATGTTCCAGCAATATCAAGGCGGGGGACACCAGATATGGGCTTCACACGTTGTTCCCATGTAGGGAATCGATCCCAGGTCTTCGGCGTGACGAGCAAACGCTTTAACCACTAGGCTACCCCACCGCCCCTCTGAATGACAGAATAGCAATACATCAAAACGTGAACTGTACTGACGCTTAGTCAGCACTCAAAGAATACATCCACATGATTTTGCTTTATAAAGTGAGTAGTGAGTTTTGTTTTACACCACACTCAGCAATATTCCAGCTATATGGCAGCGGTCTGTAAAGAATCGAGTCTGGACCATACAATTCAGTGATCAACATCACGAGCATCAATCTACGCAGTTGGGAACCGTGTCAACCAAGTCAGCGAACCTGACCACCCGATCCCCTTAGTCGTCTCTTACGACAAGCATGGGTTGCTGAAGATCAATTCTAATCCGGATCCTTAAAATTTAACATATTTCGAATAATACACAGCCGTTATTGAGTACCTTCGACATCTTATCTGTGCAGATCGATAAGTTGTTCAGCGCAAATTGTATAATAATTCAAGCATGGTAATGGCCATGTTGTTGAAAATGTATTTAATAGAACCAGTCTTCACTTAACGAATTTGGTATTACTCAAAATTTCACAGTTCAATTTTACTTTTTTTCAGAAATGACATAAATTCCTTCTAAATTAGTGTCAAGAACATATTTTTTCTTTTGCCCATCATGTTTTAGACCACAATTTTCTATTGAAATAACATCTTTATAGAGTTTATTCCATCTCACTATATTGCAATAATTCTTCATTGTGCCCTGCCCTGTGTTTCAGATTGTCAGACATAACAATGCCCCAACATTTGCACTGGTTTAAAACGCGTGCAGGGTGCCAGTGTGTCTCGGCTTATTCCAAGAATTTGATTAAAGGCCGCGAAAAAATAAAATACATAATGCCATACAGTTATTCCATATGGTGATTGAAATAGACATCTATGGCTGTTTGTTCTGATTGCCTGGAGGTATGTTTACACGGTAAAACTAGTTGTATAAAATTTGTTGTGAGAGATTCAAACAATATTACCTTAAAATAACGGGGATCTGCACATCCCGTGGATTCCCCGGGGGCTATGACTTGCATTATAAGGATTCATTACATTGTTCTGCGTGATTTGGAAGCTTCGTAAATATTGATGTGCCAGTTTTACCACACAGTCCATACAAGGGGTATGCACATTAAATGAAACACCGAGAACAAGTCGAGTTGGTCTTTGTTAGCGCTCATCACGAACCGCACGTGCATTTGTTTCACTGTTCCAACTACTGCGCTTACCCCATTGTAATACAAACCAATAATAGCGATTTGAATGTATGATCGTTTGTTAAACAACTTTTATCCTAAGATGAGTAAAATTCTGAGATTTAAATGTTCAGTTGGCAAGGTAAAAGTATGAAGATTCGCAATCTTAATTTCACTCTATTTGATTTACTTTTTTATTTAAAGTGAAATTCATCGGTATATTTTCACTGCAAACAGACCATAGACACAGCGGCGTTTGGCTGTATCTATCATCTATCAATCGTGGAGTTATATAGCGAGCTCGAATACTAGAGGGTCGGTCGTATAAGACAACGCTGTTCTCCTTGTATTGTTACGTCCCTTAGCTATGCCATGATTCAAAATCCGCCATAACCAATTAACAAATATCTGAAATCGTCATCGATTATTTGATGACTGCGTCAAACAGACCGGATTATCCCATCCGCACTCATTACAGTCATACCAATATAACCACCTTGTGCTTTCTCGGACAATATCGTCCTTCAACGTCTAAAACACACATGCATGTATTCATACACGCACTCTCACGCATGCGCACACAGGCAAAGAAACGCACACAAATACACACTTTCACGGACCCACGCAAACGCATAGAGGCACACACACGCAGACACCTGGAATATGAGGCGTAAGTACAATACCCTGTAATGTACGTTAAACCTAGTTTCACCTGACCCACCTTAAGTTGATCTCACGATTTATATCTATTGAATGTATTACCCTAATGACAGACAGACATTGTCTCAGTTCAACTCATGGCAATACGTTATTCGAGACCTACCCGGCACCTACACTGAAGGGTCCGTTTAAACATACACACCGCGCTGTGTAATTTCACATGTTACGTTACCGACGGAAACAATATATAAACCACTGTGATCAGGCCCCGATTTCTCGAAACAAACTTAAGTCTGAGCTTTGACTTAAGTTCGAGTTTTTACTCAAATTTGAGAAACGCAGGAAAATGCATTTCACAGAATGAACTGAAATCGGCATCAAACTCAAGTATAGTAGACAGTTTGGGTTTGGTAGATAGATTACTTAAGTTGTTTGGGCTTTTATATTTTACAAATGCAGTTGAGATAAAAATTCAGCTGTTTCAAATTGTGAAACTAAGTTGAGATTTGAGTAAAACTTAAGTTTGTTTCAAGAAATCGGGACACGGGAACACAACCAGTCTACCTAAGGCATCATAATCAATGCGATACAACTGTCCCAAGTTCATGTAACAGAATCTAAACGACACATCTGCCCTGACCTTGCTCTCAATAAACTTTACTATTACGTGAACAGAATAAGGAAGTAGATAAGGAGAGGCTGTAGATAAGGATACAATCTGGATACAATCATTTTTTGAGTTAGCTGCATCTTATGTTAACATCCCCACTAATGCTGTTACTCATTATACAATTCCGGTCGCTAGAGGTAGTTCCTTATGAACGCAAACTGCATATAAACTGCCCATATCTACCAGAGAACGACGCTGTAGCTTGTAGAACGTCGGCAGAGGTTGTAAGGGATACAAGCGGTGCATCATCCACGTCGCCGTTCGGCTCTGTCGTTGACGCGAAAGTCGTTGACGTGAGTGGGATGTTGTTTCATGCAGTTTTGTGGGTGTGCTGAAAATCGTTAAGCCGTCTTCTACTGCGTTTTGTCAGTCCGGAAATCGTGAATATCCTTTCGTAAAGCAAGGGCATATCTTGTCAATGGCGTACTGTCGCAAACCGAGTGTTGATAAGAAACTTTTGCAGTTTGACAAAACTGCTGTCAACGGAGAAATGTGCAGTTGTGGGATTTTATGTTGGCGGTTGAAATTATATAGCTTCAGCTCTGACATGTAGTCGAAAATTAGCAAAGAACATAAACTCAAGAGAGACGAGGTCGTGTTTTGACAACCTAATTTGTTTTATTGTGCCTGATTTTTGAACAGTGATTTATGGTGAAAATATAACATTTATGTTAGGAGGGTGACCTGTTCTGCAATAGAGAAACCAATGTCAATCTGTCTCAGCGTTGACAGTTCTTAATGAAATTAGTGATGATGATGATGATGATGATGATGATGATGATGATGATGATGATAATGACGATGATGATAATTAAATTAGTGTTGATGATGATGATGATAACAAAATGGGTGATGATGATGATAATAATAATGATGATGATGATGATATAATTGGTGATGATGATGATAATACAATTGGTGATGATGATGATCATTATGAAGCTGATGATGATGACGAAGAAGATGAAGAAGATTATGATGGTGATGATGGTGATGATGATGATTATATGATGATAATGAATTAAGTGTTTGAGAATGAGAGAGAGGAAACCATGAGAGGAAAAGTGAAGGGAGAGAGAGAGAGAGGCAGAGGGAAAATTCTACTCTTGACTCAG